AGGTCACATGGCAGTATAGGTGGGATTCAATGCAAGCAGTTCAGCACCAGAGCCTGTGCACTTAACCACTGTATCTCATTTGGGAGCATTAACTTACATAGCAATTTGGTGGGGAGAAAGGGATAGGGGAGCAGAGCAACCTGTAGATGCTTCGGGAACAAATATGTTTTAGAACCATTCACCTTGAAGGTGAGGAGGTGTGAAAACAGGCCACCTGTGCCACACAGAGAATCACCGGGCTGGAAAGCTGTGGTGGCTTCCCTTCAAGCTGCGACGATAGAGAACATGGATGAAACTGCAGAGGCATCCTGATTGGAGAAGAGCACTTGATTGGATCTCATTAAATTTTAATCATAAACTGAATTCAAAATAAATTGAAAACTCGTTGACAGAGCACAAACAAAGGGTGATGATAAATGGTGATGCATCTAGAGAGGGGATATCTTCCAGGGGACGCCTCTCAGGCAAGGACGGAAGGGATTTAATGAAGGTGTTGTGTCCCTGGAAGAAGACAAATAGCAGAGCAAGAAACAGAGGAAGGGCCAGAGTGAGCAGCCTGAGTAATTAATAAACCACATCAGCAGCTCTAAGCAATCAAGGCTTGCTGCTGTTCGCCAACTGCTTGGATTTTTTTTTTAAAGCATTCTTTGGGTCAACAATAGGGTTGAAAAGTCCTAAACACACAGCATGAATATGTCAGGTGGACTTTAAAAATAAATATATAAATTTACAGGTAGGAAGATCCTCAGATTCAATTTAGATCAGACACTTTCAATTATAGATACCCGAGGTCCTACTTCATTCTGCAGGGAGTAGTTTTTTTATGTGTCTAAAAGTCATGGATTAAAAAAAATCTTTAAACTCATTAATGTTCTCTGTTTACTGCCTAAATGCATGCAAACTTTCACAACATCGGTTTGCTTCATAGAAGTTGGTTTTGAGTGAACTGTTTGGCTCAGGGTCAAATTCCAGTGAAGAAATACTTCCAAGTTTACTTGCAGAATTTCCCAGACAGAACAGTTCTTCCATTTGGTTTGCCAGAGGATTGGAAGCAATGGTGAGCTCTGGAGACCAGGGAACATTTATTGGCCCTTGTTCATACCCTGCACAGTATGACTCACGTCAGGCTAAAGGAAGCATAGCGTGACCTGACCTGATTTGAGGAAGGCCACTCTTGGAGTCCTTTGAACCATTAAACAAGGAGGCGATAGACTAATGGGAACGAAATGTCTATGTCACGTTGGACATCGGTTATAAACATTTAGAGAACAACCTTAAAACAGCCCATGAATTGTTTGTTTGTTTGCTTGCTTGTTTCAGATAAGATTTCTCCACACACAGATTTGTGATTAATTCAGTCCAGGCCCAGAAAGAAGAAGAAGGGAAAATCAGGAGAGAAAGAAGAAAGGACGAAAAGGAAGAAAGGAGAATGGAGGAGATGAGAATCAAGGAAAGTGTAGAGACCTTGAAGGAAACATTTTTTCACTGTTTTTAGAGAGCGAGGAAGGAGGGGAGGGAGAGGAGAGAAACATCACTGTGAGGAGAAACATAAATTGGTTGCCTCTTGTATGTCCCATGACTGGGAATCAAACCTGTAATCTTTTGGTTTATGGGATGATGCGCCAACCAACTAAGCCACACCGGCCAGGGCTTTAAGACAATTTTTTAAAATTTCCTCTTTATTGGTGTGGGAGAGAGACATTTAAATTGTGATTTTTACATATCTGTGGGTGTGAGAAAGGGCAGTTGGAAGGAAAGGGAAAGAAAGAATCCAGGTAAAAGGCAAGAGTGTTACAGGTAAGCTGGTAAGTCGGGAAGAGTCTTAGCAGCCATCACAAGGGGGAAGAGAGTTCAGGGATTGAGGAAAACCTGGTGACACTGGGAGGGGAAGAAGGAAAAACACCGGGAACCTGGGTGCAGGAAAACAATGAAGCAGAGAAGAGCCAAGTTTCCCTCATCACTGAGGGAGCTGCCAAGATCCCAGCCAGCCTAGGTCTGTGGGTGGAAAGAAGGGGGACACATGGGCTGGGGGGCTTGCCAGTCCCAAATAGCTTGATTTCAGCAGCCTTAACAGGGAACCAAGGCAAACTGGCACAGATCTTAGGGTCACAAGGGGGATGAAAGCCCACCCTCCTCCCCTGGCCAATGTTTAACTTCCGGTCTCCAGGAAGGTCTGTGTACACATCTGTGTGCATGGCTTGCGCACGCGCACACACACATACACATACACACACAGGCACAGAGTGAGCTGAGCAGTCAGACATGGAAGCACATGTGGCAGCAGAGGAGGCCTGCTGGGCAGGAGACACAAAGAATGTCGGAGGGAGAAAGGACAGCCTGGGTTTCATGAACTAAAAATATCTTGGTGACAATGCGCTGGGAAGAAATGAGAGAGGCTCAGGGGGAGGGTTTCTTGATTCCAGTCCTCAGATGCTTTCACACCAAAGGACCGCAGGATTGTTTTGATAAGGAAATGTGATCAAACATTAGGGGTCATTTCGTGGGATCTGAAAGGAATTTAAAATGCGATGAGCTTCCTTGCTGTTCTTTTCTGTGTCAGTTGCCTTCCATTGATAGATGTTTTGAAAGACTAATTTAAAATTACCCACAGCAGAAAAACGATTTGAATTCAGGGTATTCCTGAGATTTCAATTCAACGATGTGTAAAAAAACATAGATTTCATTTAGACAAACTACCCACATAATCTATCCTTCTGAGCGTCTGTTAAAGAATGCCTGAAAATATGACTGCCTTCTTTTCCCTTATTTTCGGGGCATTTTAAAGTCACTACCTCCTCAATCCTGAGAGGAGCAGGCCTGGACCTTTCCTCTCTCTGCACCCTCCAGGAGTGGGTCTCTGCGACACGCTAGTTCCCTGCCCAGACTTCACTTCTCGTCAGCCCACCCCACGCAGTGGACAGAGCAGCTACCGCATTGTCTAGCTCATCGTGTTCCCTCATGGGAGGACTGGGAGCTGCAGTACCAGATTAAGAATGACTGTGGGTGGTCTTTCCAGATCAAAACTGGCCTGGCAGGCCGAACAGCACAGTTAGCCGGATTTCAGATAATGGGCCATCATCATTTGAAAACAAAATCAGTAGTTCGTCACAAGTGAAACATCTTGAAATTTCTGACCTCTCCTCCCAGGGGCACAGAGAGAGCCATCTAAAAACATGATGAGGACTATACCAGGGCCTCCATACTCCACAGAAACAGTTTAGCAATACCAAAGGCCCTGAGTCAGCCTATCCCAGTCAGCCATGGCCTGTTAGAACTGTACCGACAGAGAGCAGTTTGCCCAAAAGAACCAAGAGTGACAAAAAAACAAAAAAACAAAAAAAAAACAACAAACAACAAAAAAACCCCCTAGTGGTTTGGAAAAGGTTAAGGATTCTGTGTGTCTGCCATCTAATAATGTGTCTAGTCCTAGTCATCACCCTTACATGGTATCAGGACGTATTTCCCAGATTCCTTTTCGCTCTCACGAAAGGCGCCACACACAGTGATTGGCTTAGCCTGGGAGTGGTTTCCAGCTCCAGCTAAGTCAGTAATGCAGTCTTTTGGAGCCAGACGTGTCTGCCAGTTCTCTGGCCTGCCTTGACTCTGGGCAAGTACACAGGACAGTTCTTCCTGCATAACCCAAACGGGACATGAACTAATTCAAGAAACCCCCATTTTTCTCCTATTTAGCTAGAGCCAGGAATCCTGCCTAAATTCCAGGCAGCCCTCCCGCAGAGCCATGTGGCTGCCCAGCTCTCCCCCAGCCTCTCACCCGGACTACTAGTTTATCTTTGCCTTGAGAGCAGATGAGTGAAACAGACATCAGAGCGGCTGATGTGAAAAGGACCCTGAGCACCTACAAGGTGTTCGACAGTACACTGGGCGGCCGGGGTTGGGGCGGGGGTGGGGGGTGGTGGTGGAAAGGATTAAGAAACAACGTCCTTTTCCTCCAGGGACTAACCATCTAGCAGCGGGAGGTAAAATTAATATATTTGAACAATGAGTAAACAAAACAAGTCTTCTAAGACCACCCATTCGGCTCCCCTCTGGGACTCCCATTACCCTAGCCTTATTTCGTTAGAAAGGAATTTAGACAACATCATGTTAGTTCACCCCCGCCCCCTCACCACCACACATTTTATTGATGAAGAAACCCAGGCCTAGGGAAACCAAAGGGAATTGCTGAAGCCTCCGAGCCAGCAAGAAGTGGGGAGTGGGAACTTGAAACCAAGTTTCTTGTCCTCTTTTTAAAAATATTTAGTCTCCTTTTTTCTCCTCACTGAAAAATATCGCCCTCTTCTAAGAAATCATCTTGAACTTAAAAGATACCGTAAAGCAGGATGAACTTTTCAGATAAAGTAATAGCACTTCCCCCTCGTTTCCCTAAAGGCTCTGTCCAGTGCCAGCCAGCGCCGGGCTGCGGGAGGGGAGGAGGGCTGCGGGAGAGGGGCTGAGCGGCGGCCCAGAGCCAGCGCGGCGCTGAGCGGGATTGCTGGCCCAAGAATGTAGTGTTAATTTTTTTCCCTGCATGAAACAGAGGTCAAGAAAACTTGGGAGTTCGCCTTCCACCTCTGCTACTGACGAATACTGGAGCTGGAAGCCAATTACTCAATCTTCGCCAGCCCCGGCTTCTTTCGTGGGGAAGTGGGGTTTGAATTCTTCATCCCATCTTGTGGGGACGCTAAGACCTCACACCAATGGTTCCCAGGCAGCGCCAAGCCTCCCCATTCCGGTGTGGGTGCCCCCGCTCCCCAGAGAGTTCATCTCCACTAGTCTGTCGGAAACACGAAACCATCAACACTTTCTCTTTCTCCAGGCAGAAACTTAATTGTCATTTTCTCAGCCCAAGCTGGTCTCTACACGAACAAGTTAAAAGTGGAGAGAGGGAGGTGGAGGAAAGTAAGGCAGAAGATTTCAGTGAAAGAGAAAACAGCCTGTTCTGAAAATGGGTCAGTGGCTCAGAAGTAAGGCTAGGGAGGCAACAAGTCTGAACAACTTACCTTCAAACCACGGCGGGCAGACCTTGGCCACAGGGTGGTCGGGCTCCCTCCTTCCCCTGTCACTCTACCTTGGGTCGCTCCTGCCGCCCTCCACCCTCTCCGGGCCCAGGTAAGCAGTAGAACAGGCTCTGAAGCAGGAAGTGGAAGTTGTATGCAAATTTCTACCGAGGCTAGGAAGCCTCAGCTCTAAAATATCCCTGTGGGCAGTGAATCAACAGCTGAGAAGTCACTTTATTTCTTAAAACAGAAACCTCCTTCATTCACTAGAAAAGGCCACTGACCAATTAGGCTGCATTTTTGTTTTCATCACCCAGCTAAGTAATTGCTGGGGAACGTCTGCGGGGCCCTGGACCTCAGCGTTGTGGCAGCACCCCAGCCTGGGAGGTGCCATAAAGGGCATTAAACTTGGGTGCTAAAAGCGGTTATTCATTAGCAGCTCCAAGGACACAGAAAACATAGAGTGGGGAGGAGTATAAAGCAAGAGCTTCTTAATATTTCTAACTGTTCTGAAAACATCATCATTTGCTGCCCTTAATGTATTGCCCTGTGAGCAGGCACATGTACATATACATACATACACACACTCACACATACAAACACACCCACAGGCAAACACGCACATACTCTGCCCTATTAACAGGCAGGAAAAAATGACTACTTTTAAGAAAACACAGCCCTGGCTGGGTCGCTCAGTTGGTTAGAGCATAGTCGTGATATGCCAAGGTTGTGAGTTTGATCCCTGGTCAGAGCACATACAAGAATCTGTCAATGAATGCATACATAAGTGGAACAACACATCAATGTTTCTCTCTCTCTCTCTCTCAAATCAATCAATTAAAAAAAACAAAACAAGAAACCAAAACCCCACACATACATGCTTACACATTTTTCATGACCCCAAGTTTACTTTCCCCTCCCTTTTCCTTGTTTAATCAGTAGCCTACAGAATCTGCGGCCGAAGGAGTTGTTGGACGCAGGATGACAGGGCGGCAGAGTGGGATGGCAGCTGCGGTGGCCAGCGGAGGGGTTTGGTGTGAGCTTAGCTGTGTCACTGGCCAGCTGGGCACCACATCGGGGTCCTGGGCAGGCACACTGTGCTCCTGGTGCTGGGTGTCTCCCCACCCTTCTGCAGGGGACAGGCCCCAGAGCATCCCCCGCCAGACCGCTGGGTTCTGCTAAAGTGAGCCACGTGAAGCAGGTTGCTCTGCAATCTACGGTCAGAATGGATGCTGCTTATTTTTAAAACAGCATATCCAGATTGTCTGTGTTTTGATATATCCTTATAATGGAATACTATGCAGCTGTTAAAAATCCTAAATACTTATTTATGCATATATTTCTTTCTACACGCTATCATGGAAAAGGGAATATTATTTAATGAAAAACATGATGTCATTTCCGCCAATATATGTGAGGTCTGTACAGAAAGTATCCAGCCATGTGATAAGGGAAATAGAGGCATTTATTGACTACGATACAAGATACAAGAAACATTGTATGCAGACAATGATGCTTCAGTCCCCGTCAAAGTTGGCACCTTGGGACCTCACACAGTTCTCCCACTCACCATCAGCTGCTTCATCATATTTTCCTGAATCTCATCCACGGCCTGAAGTCTCTTCCCTATCAAGCGTGATTTTAGTTTTGGGAAAAGCCAGAAGTCACAGGGTACCAATCTGGGCTATAGGGGGCTGAGTCACCCGGGTGATTTGAAGTTTCATCAAAAAACTCTGCAAGAGACGTGATGCATGAGCGGGCATGTTGTCGTGATGAAGCTGCTAATCACCAGTTGCCCATGGCTACGGCCTTCTGAATCATCCAAATAGTTTCTGCAGAAGATGTTCAAGCTTATTGCAAAATTTGATGCAGGTTTGTCATTCTACTCACTCATTTTGAATGAAATGGCCACACAGGACACATGCTCAGTTAATGGCGTCTATTGCTCCCACTGACTAGTGCAGTGAAGTCGTCATTGTTCACACACGTGCATTCCAGTCCACTCTCCTTGGCTGCCAGGTTACATCAATATCATGCAAACCATTCTCATTATATTAACAATGGTTGGACTTTTTCCAGACAGGCTTCATATAAGAGTAAACACACATTTATATATATATATGTAGATAGATCTGTTCTGGGACCTCTGGTCCCAGCACGAACCTAGCACACTGTCCAAAACATAGTAGGCAATCCCTATCCCTATATATCTGTGAAATGGCCAAACGTGACAGAAATTTCTGGAAGAATGCATTTTAAGTGGTTGTCACTTCCAGGGATTGAAGGGACTGAATGAGAATGGAGAGCTTTTATACTATACACACATAGGGGCTGTTCTCCCCCCACAACAAGCATATAGTACTTTATTCATTAAAAAGAACACATTTTTTTTTTTAAAGTAAAAAAAATTACCTTGGTCTTGAACTTTCTGCCTCAAATTATTATAATTTTTTTTTTTTTAGGCTAGGGTAAAATAGCATTCTCTGTGGAATGCTTGGTACCAGAATACTTTGAAAAAGCTGTACGTGTTAAGGGTGAGAACAGGAATGAGAAGACTGGCAGGGGAGGAAACAAGAGGGAGAGCAAGGGAAAGGGTGGGGTGAAAATATTTTTCATTTCTCTTGATGCCCTTAGGTGGATTTGGAAAACTCTGGAAGATGCTTCTGTCAAGTACCACCTCTGGAAAGCAGCCCATTGGGAAGAACGAGGTGATTTTTTTCCATTTCTCCCACCATTTCCCCAGGTGTGTGGGGCCTAAGTGTCCTGTAGGAACAATACCGAGTGCTGAAGTGTTGCTTTCAATTGCTGTTAGCTGGGCCTGCCTCCTGTCTCGATGCACACTAAGCAGAAAGACAGCACTTGGGGAAAGAGTTAATGGTTCCTACCTAGAAGCCTTTGCTGGGTCCCCTACTGGAAAGCAGCTTGAGGATGTAAGTTGTTTAGAGACAGTATTCTCAACATGAGAAACCTTTGCTGGAACATACCCCAGGCAGTTACAGTGAAATATGATTACAGGAGAAGTGTTGGGGACTCTGGGGAATGAGCCCTCAGGAGTCCCCACTGGGAGCTCGTTTTCAGGCTCACACATACACTCTTTTAGCTGCCATCACAGGAGGACCTACCACACACTACCTGTTAGCACGTTTAATCCTCCAAATAGTTCTGTGAGCTGCATGTACTGTCATTACCACTTTATCTTTGAGGAATCACTGGCTCAGAGACATTGGGTAATTTCTCCAAGGTCACACAGCCAGTCTGGGGAGAAGGATTCCAGAACTGTCTCGCTGCAGGAATGAAGGTTACTTCCCCTCCTCCCCACACTGCCCTATTGCCGTCGGTCTTTCCCACATGCTTGGGTGGAACACAGGTAACTTGCTTTCTTTGCCTAACTCTTGACAATGTTCAAGAAGAGGAAAAAGAGGTGTAGGCAAAAAAGGGGTGGGGCTGAGACTGTGCCAGTTACCATGGTGCTGTGTTTATGTGGTGATGGCTGCAGTAATGAATAATAGGCTGAGGAGTCAAGATGTGGGTCGGCCTTCACTCTCCAGTTAGAAGTCTAAGCAGGGAGGATTGGTTTGCCAGCTTCGACAGTTTGCTCAGTGTTCTAGATGGAGGTCAGTTCTCCTCACCTCTGAAAACAAAACAAGACCAAACCATTTGGATTTAGTGCTCAGAAACTTTCCATTCTACAGCAATACTTTATGAATAGAAACAGGGGAGGGGAGGAAAAGTCTTGGGCAAGGCTTGATTTTCCATATTTAAATGCTATGATTCCAAGTGTTGAAAGGACAGAGTCTAACTACAACAAGTAAGGAAGAGAACACTCCCACCCAGCAAGGCCCTGAGAATGGCCGAGTTCAAAGGGTCGCCAGCCCTTAAACAGCTCTGGCCAACTCCCCGCAACTTCTTGTTGTACAGTTGCTGCTGGGACAGAGGTGGGAAGAGGAGAAATGGTCAGACTGCCCGTGTCCTGTCCTTCCTGGTTACTCCAGACAGCGCTAGGTGCGAGGAATACAAACTGAATGATTCCTAACATGTTCTTGTGTTCCTCTCAGAAGCAACAACTGTGGCGATGCAGGCAGCTCCAAAGCTGAGTATCCTCTGGTGGCTCCTTCTCCATGGCTTTGGAGGGCTGCCTCTAGTGCAGAGGGGCTGCCAGACCCAGGCAGAAGCAGAATCCATCACCACCCTTACCTCCTGCCTGAGGCCTGGACCCTGGGGCTTCTTCCTTCTCTGGGAGTTCCCGTCTGGAACCGTTTCCTGTTCTGTAAGCATGCTCAGTCAGGACCTAATGAATCTCACAGAGATCCTGGTAACATAGACTTTCACAAGGAAAAGGTTAGCTCTCAATCTTTCCCCTTCCAAGAGGTTCCTCACTGCCAGTACAGATCTACTCATCTCCTTTCCCTATCAAGTGGATACTGGGAACAGCGGCTTTCATCAAGCTACTAAAGTTCCTGTTTGCCGTTTTCCTAGGGCCTTGGGTGTCTATTCACCTTACATTTGCATACAAGGGAGCACTCTCAAGTTCTGAGAAAAGCCAAAGATTATCTGCTCCAAGGTGACTCCCCTCACAGTCAACTGGACCTATTGTTGTTGGAAACTTCTTTTGTTAAGAAATGGTGACGTCCTAGGACATTGGGTTTCCCATTTCCACCACCACAATAAAAGTAGTTAACCTGCAGATAGTACTTATGAAGTGCCAGCAGGGTTCTAAGAACTTGTATGTATTTACTCATTTTATATGGTAGGTACTATAAGATTACCTACCATTTATTGAGTATGAGCTATGTACCGAATGATTTTTATTATCTTTATATTCAAGTGGAGAAATTTATTCACCAGAATTGCAGACAGGTATTTTTCGAGGGGAAAAAAAAGCAGAGAGAGATCCCGATTCTGCTTCTTATGGGGGTTGAACACAGTAGGGTGAGTCAGATGAGAGAGCAACATTTGGAAAGGGACGATGAGAAGAGAACATGCGCCCAATGGAAGAGCTGGAGGAGACAGTGAGGGACTTTATGGAGCTGTGTGGCACTGAAAAAGCAGGGGGGACCATGGATCCCTTCAAGAAAATCTATGATAAATAACATTTTTAAAAAGATGTTATTTATTCATTTTTAGAGAG